TTGGAGAAGCCACCTAGATACAATTTTTTTACAATCATATTTATGTTTTTTGTCAATTGCCAATAGATTATTCACTTTATTATATAAGAAACGTCCCAGAAAATAAAAGAATTTTTGGCTAAATGTAGTTTTGCAAATAACGGTACAAGGAATAAAGTTAGTACGTCTATGTATAAGAATTGGGTTAGGTGCCACAGCATGCTGTCGTAGCACAGTTTGGAGAACAAAGAGTTGGCGTACGGTAAGTACTTCACAATATTCATAAAGGTCTCTGGTTGGGAAGCGAAAAGGCTTAAAAGTAGATACTTTTAATACTGCTCTTTGAGCACGTTCAACCGTAAGCAGATGAGTCTTAGAGGATCCTCCCCAAACCGTAATGCAGTAGGTCAGTAGAGATTGGCACAAGGCATAGTACACCATTTTTAATATTCCTGGTTCTGCCACATGTCTTAAGTGCTTGAATACATAAATTATTTTACGTATTCTACTATTCAAGATTTGAATGTGAGGTATAAAATTCAGATTTTGGTCTAAAGTAACTCCTAGATATTTGATGGTAGACGATGCTTCCAATTTAGGGCAGCCGCAAACTAGGTTACTCTGTGTAGAATGGTTGTGGGCAATTATACTTAAAGGTAGATTACAGTTAGTTACATTCAATTTGAAGTTTTTGTTTCACTAGTTTTTAATCTTATAAATGGCAAATTTTGCATATCAATCGGGCTCTTATTGTAGAAGCACAAAATTGATAATAATATTGACCGTCCCATCAAAACACACCTATTTATTATTATATGTTAATAATTCTCAACGCGATCGTGCCGTTCCCCTAAGTGTGATATCAACACTTGACCGGCTGACTGATTGGAGAGGTGGTGCATCGGACGTTGACGTGATATAGGGGTTTACGAATCCACTATAGTCGTTTTTAGATATCAGAAAACTGAAGTTGGTGGTTTTAGATTAAGTAAAAATATGTAATAAAAGCTCCGAAAAGTAAATCGGGCTTATTCAAAATATGAATATTACTTTGTATATTACTACGTTATTTACTAAGCTACGAGAACTTTTGTGCAAATAACCGAAGGAAATACTGAAAGCTCTGAAAAACCTTGCTGACGTAATATTACTGTACGCACTACTGTCAAATATTTTAGTGTCTTTTTTTTTTGTTTACCGAATTTATGTTAGTAGAACATTTACGGGAAATAAACCATAAAATAATGTTACCGGACTTCCCAATCAAGAGGTCACAGTAATCTTCAAAATCATTATTTGGACAACGGGTCACTAACGGTTGCCTTTGAGTGATGACCTACAATTTTTTTACTTCTATTACAATACAGTATGTCGCAAAGCTAGAGTCGTTACTGTCAAAGTTAGTCGACAAAAATTATGGGCATATCTTCGTGGATTATCGTATTAACCGGTGATTTTTTTATTGCTACGGTACAGTGCGTAAAACAGCTAAAAGTCCATACAGTAAAGGTTATTTGAAGATAATGATGGTATGTTTGAGAATGATTGTATAAGAAAGGCACGTCATTGACTTAAATTTTTTGTTGTGTTGTTTTATTTAAAAGTCCAAATGACATCGTCATTAGTTGTATAACTCGTAATATAGTTGGAGTGTGTGTTTGTATGTCATCTTGTGGATTAATTATTATGATATTGATGATGTTTTTTTTTAATTTTTTTTAGTTGTTTTGGTAATGTGAGCATTATTGCGTTACGGTTTTGAAGGCTTACAGTGGCGGTTAAATTACAGGTACGTTGACAGGGGCTTGTCAACTTACTTTTCAACTGTCTGAGCGGCATAGCAACTGTTATGGACAGGCGGGTCGGGTACCACCAGGCGCACGTGTTGTTCTTCCCGTCGTCGCACAGTGGGCCCAAATTGATAATTCTTGGACATAGGAATAACTTGTGGAGTATCGAGCAAATTTTTTTTTATATGATAGATAATAACATTCCTAACAACTTTTGATCTTGTACAATTTCGTGAAAAGTTGATAGTTTCTAAGAATTTTTTTTTTGTATGGAGAAATATACATTTTATTTTTTATCTCAAAATATACGAAAAAGTAATGTGCATGGGTTACTTACAGTTATAGTTCCAGTGATTTTGTTTGTAGAAAAAAATAATCCGAATACATGTACTTGCGGCTTTGTAAGTAAAGGTGCGGCAAAATTACTAACTTTTTAATGTACTTTTTTAATTAAATACATGTGCTTCAACTAAACAAAAATAAATTTTAGTGTAATTTAGAGAATGTTATAACAATAACATGAAAGTTAAGTAGAAACTAGTATATTGTGTTAAAAAATAAATAACAAATCTAAGATTTTGACACCTTTTTACTCGTAAAGCCACAAGTACCTTTTTTTTTTTTTTTTTGCAGATGGATTATTTTTTCTTGATAGATATTGATTGAAATGACACACACATTACATTTTCCTACATTTCGATATAAAAAATAAAATGTTTATTTCTCCAAACCAAAACTAAAATTTTTTTCTCTAAAACAATCAGCTTTTCAAGAAATTACATGAGAATAAAAGTTATCAGGGATGTTAATATTTATCATATGAAAAAAATCAGCTCTGTATTCCTAAAATTGTTCCCATGATTAAATAATAATTGGTAATTCTAGGAATAACTTGCATGGAATACCGAGCCTAGTTTTTTTTATATGATGGATAATAACATTTCTAACAACTTTATTCTTGTGTAATTTCTTGAAAAGTGATAGTTTCAGAGAAAAAATAATTAATTTTTTTGTATGGAGAAATATACATTTTATTTTTTATCTAAAAATATACGAAAATGCAATGTGTGTGAGTTACTTACAGTCAGGTTCCAATCATTTTTTATGTAGAAAAATATAATTCTTCTGCATGTACTTGCGGCTATTATCTATCATATAAAAAAAAAATTGCTCGATACTCCACAAGTTATTCCTATGTCCAAGAATTATCAATTTGGGCCCACCGTGTGTCGGTTTGTGTCATAAAAAAGAAAAGTTACTTTATAGCCCAATTCATAACGTTCAGATATAAGTCAGCAGGTAGGTAAGCCACTTCAAAAAATCCCCCATACTTAAATTGAACCGTAGTTTTACAGGGTCTTGCAAATTACGCTAGTATTACGCTAATTTGTTCCTGTGGATAAGAACTTGAGCTTTAATCGGGGTTCAACGATATTAACTGAAACTATTTCAAAGTAAAAAAATCAGTTCGATGCAAAATGTTCATGACTACTCTTCAAATATATTTCTTTTTTTTTTGAGCGTTTTTTAATCGACTTCAAAAAGGAGGAGGTTCTCAATTAAACTGTCTTTTTTTTGTATGTATGTTACGCGTTTACTCCGGGTTCGTTGTTAATGATTTATGAACCTATTTTGATGATTCTTTTTTGTTGTATTGGTCCCATTTACATTTTAAGAAAATATTCCATCGCAGACTAGGGGATGAATCCAGTTTTGCGTACTTTCCGGTAACCGATTCCAATAAAACTTGGCAAATAAATGAAATTCCACGAACTTCTGAGGTCGATTTTCTTAAATAAAATAGTTATAATTTATTATTTGTTTTATAAAAAACAAGTGCGCATTTGACCTCCATCTCATTTGATGAAAAATGACGATGGGTCGACGTTGGTGTATGCACACCTATATAATTTGCCTATTCACTCTCAGCTTGAAAAGGCCCAAGAGCAAATCTGCAGGCATGGAATTCGAGTCTTGAGTAAATGTTTTTTGGTTTCATTTATATGAAACTTTCATTTAATTTTGTTAGTTAAACATTATTACTAAAAAGTTTGGTACCTCATAACGAAATGTTTGTTTGAGGGCGCACATTGTATAGGGAGAATAAAAGTTTGGTTGGTGAGTTTTAAATTATAGTACTTCGGATCAATTCGTTTCAGCCTGTATAAAAAATATGTCACAAGGAAGACATAGTGAATCTTGGTCGAAATGTCTTCAGAAAAGTAATTTGAAACATATTTCGTAGCAAAATGCGGGCAGTTCCAAGGATCTGCCTCAATTGGCAAAAAGTGTGTCTGAGAATTCGTTCACGAGTACTTGTTATTATACTTAAGGAATTTAGACTTGAGGTTAGTGTAGATTTAACAAAAAGTTCTAGGTAATTTCTGTTAATATTGTATTAACATTGTTTTAACTTTAAAAAAAAATCTTTTAGTTTTTTAAAAACATTTTTCTTATGCTTTTTAAACGATTTTGCAATTTGTTATAATTTTTTTCTACTCCTGTACTGGTGTTAGTAATCTGTCAGTTATTATTTCATAAACCATATCACAAAGGAGCTCTTTTTAGTTCTGAACCAAAATTCTATTGTCTATGGTACACAGAAGTAAAATGAGTTTCAAAACAAAGAACATGTTATTCTCGTTAGACGCGTCATTATGTTCCTGAACAGAATAACGTCACTACATTTATTAAATTATTATTTATTATTAAAATTATTTTATTAAATAATATCTTAAAATGTTTCATAACGGGTACAAAGGCGTATCTAATGTGACGCTACCCAACGCTCTACTGCCTCCTTATTAGTTAAAATATAAGCGGCACTTGTCCAATCACAGGCACTTCTGTTCTAATCTTTGTTTTTTTTGTTTTGTAGCGTTTGTTTGACTTTCGTTCGAGTTTATTGTCGTGGATTGTTAACATAATATACATAATATATTGGTTGTGTGTCGTTATTTTCATATACTCGTAGAAAAAGTATTGTATGCAATCATTACGTAATATAGCAGTATTTCACGCTTTATATCGCTCTCGCGCAAGTCGCGCCCTGTCGTGCTGGCCCTGCCTATAGGTCTTAAAATCTCGTACCATTACTTCGATCACTCAGCAAAACCCCTTGGCCTAAACACGGTACTCGACTTTAGGGACACTCATTATGCAACGAAAATATTGCATTTATCAGACATTAATTAGTCTAATTCTAAAATTACCTTTCTCTTTTGTTTACAGAACAGCGCACCGATGTGGGAAGAGTTTATATCAAAAGCGACCAAACTCCATTCAGCATTAAAGTAAGTTTTTGAACAATTATTTATTTATAACACCGTATTTTTCGGCCACGTAATTCGAGGCACCTTGCATTTTTATTCTTAACCAGTCACGCATCCTAGAAACAGACGATCGTCGTTGAATGGTTAGGAGCGATTTTGGTACACTTTTTTTATGGTGGATGAACACACACAGCTGCGCATTAGATACACATGGCTCTAAGGGTCGTATTCTAGACCTCTACTTAATGCTCAAGTCAGGATTTGAGTATGGTTTAAAACACTCGAAATCATACTCAAGTCCTTGCCATTAGGGTCGTATTTCCAGTGCTTGAAATCATACTCAGATCCTGACTTGAGCATTGAGTAGAGTTCTGGAATACGACCATAAGACACTACAGTACCGAAACCGATGTATTTATATAGATAGATAGATAGATAACACGTTTATTCAGCACAAATACAAACAGAAACAAAACATTTACAATCACTTCACAGAGTAAAACATAAAAGCACATAGAACATTCACTATTAATTTTATACACATTTATACAAAACACGTATTGCGAGAAAAACAAATACTGTGAGAAAAACAAACAAATACTATAACAACTGATAAAATTTTAATGTATTTATGACTACAGTTTGTGCTCAAATGGCCCTGACTCAGCATAAATACTGCTGGTTTTCTGCCAGTACCATATGGTGAGCGATCGCAGCCCAGTAAACCATGCCACCAAAGTGCATCACACGAAAATATATATACCTAACTCTAAATATTTCAAGGACGCGTGACGGACGGTAGGTTACTTGTGAAAGAGTTTGTCCAGGGAAGTACTGCCACCTTGCCTATTTCTGCCGCCTAACGGTTTTGAAGGGTAAGGGTGCTGGTGAAATTATAGGCATGGCAATGCAGTGCCACTCAGATCTTTGGGATTTAAAGCAGTGGCACTGCAACTGTTATGGACAGGCGTGTCGCTTACCAACACGTGCACGACTTGTTCGTCCCATCACTTAGTATGATAAAAAGTAATTGGTCAGGGTAGTCACCTGAGGCAATTGGTGGATTCATGCACAAGGGGCCGAAATGTTGCAAACTCCTAAGTATTTTCACTTTCTATTGTATGGTATGATTTAAATTTGAAGAAAATATTCCACCTCTAAGGGTCGTATTCTAGAACTCTACTCAATACTCAAGTCAGGATTGCAATTGAAACACAAGCACTGGAAATACGACCCTAATGGCAGGGACTTGAGTATGATTCCGAGTGCTTTGAATCATACTCAAGTCCTGACTTGAGCATTGAGTAGAGTTCTAGAATACGACCCTTAGTGTGGCAAACTAGAGGATGAATCCGCTTTCGCGCACTTTACGTTCCGTTAACCGATTTCAATAAAACTTGGTAAATACTTAGATGCAATTTCACGAACTTTTGAGGTCTTTTTTTATAATTACACAAAAATCATTTCGTATGATTCAGCAAGCCTTTGTCGATACCAAAGGCTTGAAATTTATAATTCCCAGCTTTTTGCATCCAGGTTTTTAAAAAAAAGTAGTCTAATGGTTATATTTGTTTTCACAGGTCTGCTCTAGTCGCAATAGCTGCGTTCCTTGACGCGTTCCAAAAAATCGCAGACGCAGCGACTAACGCTAGAGGTGAGTACAATTTTTTACTAAAATCTGTCGAATTTTATTTTAACAACATTTATACGTACAACACCAGACTGAAAACTTAGTCGTTCACAGAACTAGTTTAGTAGCAGTAGAGAAACGTGAGCATCCGGTTTTGAAGACTAAAGGTGCTTACTGGTGAAGTTACATGGGACTTGTAAAGTTATGCGTGTGAGTGGGAGTGCCCCTCAGATCTTTGCGATTTAAAGATCTGAGTGGCACAGCAACTGTTATGGACAGGCGTGTCGCTTTCCACCAGGCGCACGACTTGTTCGTCCCGTCACTTGGTATCATAAAACAAGACTAATGGAAGAGGAAAATCTCAGTAGTTCTGTGAACAGAACTAACTAGACAGTTAGTTCTATAAACAAATAGTTCTGTCATCAGAACTAGTGGGAGTAATCGGACTTAACGGAAAATAATAAATTGGGATAAAAATTTGTTACGCACTTTTGTTTCCACTGACACATGGATGTGTGTACTAAAATCATGCACACCTCATGAATGACGCAGCGAATGCTAGAGGTGAATACAAAACTATTTTTTTTTATTACTCTAACTTTACGGAATATACTGCGTAACAAAAAAACAAAAATTTGTTACGCAGTTTTTTGCCACTTATAATATTGGTACCCCAATACAACCATACCATTTCAGTATACACCATACATGGTGTATACTGAAATCGTGTACTTTAAAAAAAAAACTCAACATTAGTCATTGCATTTTATTTATCTCAAGTTGACTTAAAAACTTATCTATTATAACACAATATGTAACCACGTAGGAGATCTGCTTTTGCACTATTATTATTCTCATGCTACCAAATAAAGAAGAAATTGTAAATAATATAGTTATAGTACAGTGTAGTGTAGTATAGTACAGGACAGTACAGTATAGTATACAGTGTTATTTATAAAATAAACAGCTTCACAGGACTATATTACTAACATCACAAACAACAGCACTATCTGCTTTTCAGAGATTGTATTCAAAACATAGAAGATTCAAGAGTTGTTTAGTTTGTTTCAATTGAAATAACTGCATGCACAATGCATAATGTTTTCGTCGAAAGCATAGACCAATAGAGGACTGCTAGTCTCCATACTAAAGTCTGTTCCTATAATCCATTATACCAGAAAAGTAAACAAACAGGTTTTGTTGAAATTATAAAGCAATCACTCAATAAATGGAATAAGTAACACTTTCACGTATATTTTGAGGGTTTAGACTTGATATCTCATAATTTTTTTCCAGTAATGTTCATTTGAATAACATATCAAAATCTTATTTGAAAAATGTTAATTCAATAGCGAGGTTATATCTCAAATATAGATTTGTGAATAGTTTATGGTTGCATAGAGTTGTACGGAAATAACTCGTTTTGTAATCGATTAGTGTATCGAAAATTTATTCATAAACGAACTAATATATAAGTGAAAGGATTTAAAGGAGGATTTAAAATTAGATTTCGGAAATTTTAAATTTGCTTTTTTTTTTAAATTTTTTTTTTTTTATTGCGACTCGACAAAATGACTGCACCGCGCCTGATGGAAAGTGCGAATACAGTCCAGAGATGAGAGTAACGGATGGAAAACACAAATATCTTCACTCCGTCACTATCATTTTGCCGGTCTGGCCAAATGCACTGGATGTACACCAACTGATCCCTGAACGCGATTCGCAAAAGCGTTTCACTGTGGAGGGTTTTCCGCCGTGCGTACTGTGGTCGCTATCCAGTCGGCACAGAGCCTACCACAATGCTAAGCAGATGGACACTTGTGACGCCCTCGGTCGCCTCTTACGACCCCCACGGGCATGTATGGGGAGGCGACAATGTATTCTTAAGCCGTCGCCCCACGGCTAAAATTTTATAGGTTATGTAAGAAAAAAATCTAATACCATTTATGAAATATCACCACTCAGTATTTAATTGCATATTTTTTATAGTAATCAGCAGCGAAATCGGAAAACCCACATTATTATGTAGAGCCCAGGTATTCCGATCAATTCATTCAATTAATTAATCTATTTGTAGTTGGCAGTACAGTTGGCCATCACTAAACTGTCTATAGTCGGGTCAATGATCTGTTTGTTTACTTTTCTGTACAATGTACAATGGATTGGAACGGACTATAGTCGTAACCCTGAAAAAGGTCAAAATCTCGTCTTATATCTAAATGGCGCACATTTGATGAAAAAATAACTCCTATTATTATTATTAAAATAATTGAGTAGCCGGCAGTATCCATAAAAATTTTCGCAATAAGCGCCATATAGTTGATTTGGTTGTTGTCACTCGAAAAATTGAGTAGCTTTGATAAATTGCAGCTTGTCAATGTAAAACAAATTAGTTACAAAAATAGCTATTTACTCGTCGCGACATCTGGTGTACCAATTGGTACTAAACACCTGACTACGCTGTCTTGTATCGTGATTAGCAGTCCTCTGAAGTTATTGGTCCATGGTATAAAGTAAAAGAAGGATGGCGAAAGCTGACCCAAAATCAACGAAGTGCCGTTCATGGACTGTGCTAGTATAATTTAACGTTTTTGTTTATGCCTAGTCATAAATATATTTTTGTATATTTTTAGAAGTCAGGAATAACGTAATTGCAAAACAATGTATTTTAGAATAGATGCAAGAACACAACGCAATTGATTCAGTACGACCATAGATTAGGTAACGTTCTTGTACGTACATTTCATTTTAAGCACACTTAAACGTTCACCTACCTAAAGTATTGGTTATTTTACAGTACACACATAAAACATTAAAGCTATAAAATACCTAATCAAATAATCAATTAAACAATAATGACGTAAAATTAGGAATAAAACACAATGTGACAAAAGTGTTTAGACAAGAGGCCTCTTGCTAATGTGAAAGTCACTTTGAGATTGAGAACAGTGTAACCATTGTGGCAGATTTATGCCATTTGGGCAGATTTAATTTTTATTCAGTTTCATTGCGATAGAACATGTTTATGGCAGATTTAGGAATATTCAGCAAGTTCTTTATTTTTTTTTATTTGATAATGAATCTCAAGTGTTGATAGGTTTCCTTAATGCACGTCGTCAAAAACACTGGGTCACAAAGTACACGGGATGTCACCTTCCTTCTTTAATATAATATTTTTAAAAGGAATGAATGATTTACTATTTCTATTTCTATGGCAACATTTTGCTATATCTAAAAATAATGTAACCCCTACTTTAACAAATCCCACATACCTACTGCTTCATGAAACATATTCGAGCGTTGAAGTTAGATTTCTGTTTGTGCGGGATTTTGAGAATATCAAAAATTGTTTTGCGATCGCCAACCTCCATGTTTTTTTTTAATTTCTCCTGAGTAACGTTTCCTTCATCGTACGAAAATCGAAACCCATAGATGTATTTCGATAATAAAAAGAGCAGACTCCCTTTTTGCAATCCTAATCCACTACATAACAATACTGAGTCAATTACTACGCAAATTAATTAAATTGCTTAATGGATGAGAGTGCATAGAAAAAATTCGAGATAATCTTAGACATGACAAGTTCAAATTCAATAGTAAATATCCTAAGGTATAATAGTCTGACGGATCCAAGAATTATACTCGTACACCTTTGTATAAACACCAGGCACATTCTCCGACCCGCATGGAAATGTTCCAAAGCTGACAATCCCCACACACTCAAAGAACTTGTTTCCGTCAGGGTTCTCCCACATGAGAGGACCTCCTGAGTCTCCTCTGCAAGAGTCTTTGCCTTTCTCACCGCCAGCGCACATTTGACGATTCCAAAATTTGAGATTGCGATATTTGACGGAGTATGCGGCTTGGCATTGCTGTAAATTGTAAGGAAAAGTTTATGTAATGGAGATACCGTCACTTAAGAGCGATAAACTCGCAAGGCCAATATTTTTTGTGGTGTTTTTAGACAGATTACCTTGGATATCCCATTCTGATCTTAATCCTTCTCTGAAAATATGGTTCATGGACATTTGTGGTTTTCATTCTCATGCCACGATGTATAATTTCACAAAACTGCAATTACCTACCAGAGCAACGAAACCGCTGGGTACTACTATTCAGGACATACAGACCCTACACAATTTTTAAAGGTCCAAACTTTCTTTTAGCGGGTATTGGACCTGGTGATGTCTACAGTACTTAATTCTCGCTGACACATTGGAGCTATCAAATAATACTCACAGGAAGGGGAACAAACGGTAGTTTCACGTCCAACTTTACATTACTCGAGTGAGTATTATTGACAGCGCCCCACCCAGCTGCAATCAGCTGCCAATCTGAAGGCGGTGATAAAGTCATATCGGATGTTGGTAGGCAAATTGGACGGATGAAATCTGAAATAAGAATATTTTGTTTGATCTTTACAAAATGTCTGAAAGAAATGGTTTGTAATCAAAATTCTGGTCACCGCACACATGCGAATCCGGTATCAGTGGACATGTTAATGCCTACGGATAGGAATTATAGCTTTAAACATTATCTTTTAATCGGAAAGTGCTGCATGACACACTGAGATTACATTAGCCATATGATGGATGGTTATTGACCTACCAGTATATGGCGCCGATTCCCTCGTTCTCACTAAAGCGATATCATTTCTTCTTGTTTTCTTATCATAAGGGTCGTAGTCGGGGTGTGGGATTGTATACTCAATAGGTATGACGACAGCGCCGTAGGTACAGTCTTCACCGCCTGCGCTGACTGCTACGCAGTCTGGCTCGTCAATTCTGTTTGCGGTATCGTGTTCGCTTAAACGCACGTTTTGACTGGAATAAAGTAGATTTAAACTTTATTACGATCATCATCAACGCAATAATGAGTGTAACTGCTGTTCTAAGCATGTTTCTACAAACTTTATACGTTTTCCAATTGTTGTGGGACCTTGTTCAACATGCAAGTTTCATCTCGATGTTGGCGAGAGGTATTTTAGTAAGCGTCAGCTTATCATGATATCCCGATTGATTTAAGAGTCGATACTGCCTCAGTTCGAATAAAAAAAATCCCGTACTAATACCGTTCATTTTACTTGGGTCGAGCGGCAGGGACATTGGCTTCATTTCAGTATTTATTTTTTAAAAACGAAATTAAAGCTTTTTGAAAAATGTATATCGAATAGTACACGTGTTCTATTTAGTTCAGTTGATATAAAAAAAAACATTCGTTTATGTAGAGTACCTATTCAACAGCAGTTTTCTTGGAAAATGTCTTGGTAAGTTTTTGTTTTTTTTTCTTTCGTGAAAAGGATCGTGTTTTTCACGCCGTGTAATAAACAGTATATATTCTCAATTATACTATATATTTTTTCCTAAGTGATTGATTCAACTTTTACTGTTAGGCGGTAACAACCAAAGCCATTTGAGGTAGTATGGACTCTTAAGGATTACATGTAAGGAACTCACAACAAACGAGAGTTTTAAGATCTAAACAGTGGTAGAAATTGGACTGTTCTTGATAATTTCCGTCGTGTGCTAAGACTTCTTGGAAGTAAGATATCGGGGTAAATCCTAAACCAGTGGGTCTAAAAAGGTATTAGTATCCATTTTTAAGGGCAATACTTAGCAGTGCGGATCTAACAAAGACGATCAACTTCATCGGAGATTCTTGTATAAAATTGGTGACTTACGGTGTACCACTATTGAGTATATCTCCAGCGACGCAATGCCCAGCAGTGAGCACATATCGCTCGCTAATGAGAGCCCCTCCGCAAAGAAGCTTGATTCTGCCATTATCCAAGTACTCGATTAGGGCCATCCAAGGATAGTCGTCTACGTTTGTTTGCTCGCCACCTGAAATTCATAAAATTCCATGACAATATTTTAACTAGAATACTACTGTGGCGGAGTGTACTTGACTTTTATTTGTGAGACACGTACATTTGTGAATGTTTAACCCATCTCTCACTAATGGAGAAGAAAAATTTCGTGATGAAAAGCGCACGTCAAAGTGAGGCTCAAAAGCTTTGAAAACTTGTGATGATCCCAACCTACATTGGGCTGTTGTTGTGGACTATGGGATTAACGCTCTCTTTAGAGGTAAACGGTGCCCAGCAGCGCGACATACAATTGATGACTTTGCCTAATTTGTGTGTAGGTATAAGACATACAAGAGTACATATACTCTATACAGAAGTCAGGAAAATATTTTTTCTTCTGCCCTGCTGAGATCTCTTTGACCTCAGGAATTAATTATTCCTGAATCCAATTTAAAAATTGAAGTTCTTGTTTAGGTGGTCAGGACCGTATTACCATTCTTTAAAGCAACGTTATTCTAGTACTCATTATACATAAATTGGCTTTTGACGGGCTCTAGGCAATAAGTGGGATGTTGTCAAAGGTATCTGTTTATTACTCGCATAATCCACAATAATTGTTTTTTATTCTGTTTTTCTAAAGTAAAACCAAGTTGTTGTGGTTATTAATGATGCAGGTTTATGATATCTATTTCTGCCGACAAACAGTAACATGAGCTTTACTGCGTTTCAGTTTTTTATTTTTATAAAATATAAGTGCGCATTTGACCTCCATCTCACCTGATGGAAAGTGACGATGAGGTCGACGATGGAGCATGCACCTAAATAATGCCTATTCACTCTCGCCATGAAAAGGTCCAAGTTATAACGTTCAGGGAACAAGTCTACAGGCAGGGAATTCCACTCCACAGCCGTTCGCCGTATAAATGTGGAAGCATAACGCTTCGTGCGAATCCTTGGAATATCCACAACATAGGGGCGAGGTGATGGAAAGGGGAAGGCGGAATTGAATCGTGTAATTCGATCGCACACTCTCCGTGATATATCCTATAAAATACCGATAAGCAGGCAACTTTACGGCGGTGTTCAAGGCTCATTCAAGGCTGTGAAAGTTAAGGGTGCGGTTGAATCTGTTGAATCACATGAGATTTCTTAATTTTATGTCTCAAGGTAACGGGTGCAGTGGCAGTGCCCCTTAGATCTTTGCCATGTACTCTGAGTGGCGCTGCTTTTTTTCTTTATTTCTTGTTGTTTTTAATAGTATGTTTTAATATATGATCTGCTGCAGAGACTGTTGAGAAGTAATACGTACCAACAATCCTGTCTCCCAATTTAATCTGCTTCCCACAGCAACCTGATTTAGGGTCAGGAGGTGCTACACCAGGTTTTCCATTGCATGCGGTGATAGGACCTGGATCAAAATCGAAGTACTGGTCTGAGTCTTGCCCACGTTGATAAAGTGATTCTTCTGCTGGACAGCATACCTGGAAATAAATACGGAAGGCTTTTGAATGACCTTTTGTGGACGTTACTTTTTTCTTTGACAGTAAAGAAATACATAGAAGTACGATGCCACTCGGGCGTTTCATCGTCGCGTAGTACAACGCATGGTGTGGCATCGCTCTTAGGCTCCAGATGTTCTTTCACATTGTGCATATCAGATTGCAGCTTTACTGTGACTGCCCAGCCGTTTTGTAAGCGTGGCGATAACATAATCGTGTTTTCATGAAACATCGTATGTTGATTTGACTTTTTTGACACAGGCTAGCTATGCCTTGTAAATTACTTGATCAGTTTGGTCTAATAAAGAAGCATTGATAGCAAATATATATTTTTTTTTTCAATTGTAATACGTCAATCCATAGTAGCAGTATAGCTCCTTGTGAAAAGGTTCGTCTATGGATGGTCGTCATCTTATCTATTTCTGTAATGTGAGCATTTTTTGTGTTAGTAGAATTACAGGCTCATGGGACTTGTCAACTTATGTCTCAGGATGACGCAATGACTGTGCCCTTTAGATCATTGCAGTTTAAAACTTTTGAACTTTCAGGACTTGTTCGTCCCGTCATGCGTTAGTATCGTAAAAATTCAGGTCATTCTCGATTTCTTAAAAAAAATAGGATTTCAGCCAAGTTTTCAAATCACAGTTCCACTTACCTTTGGTGTATTTCCTTCAAACCCGCAGCCAGAACGTCTCAAGTTATCAACATCGTTTCTAGTTTTATAAGGATTATTAACGATACTAAAAAGTTCGCTGCAATCGTATAGAGAGATGCAATTGCCGGCGGTACCCGACGTCGTCGTGCACGATGATGACTCTGGAATGATTGGTCAAGTTAGATTTGCATTGAAGATTTGTGCTTCATGTTCTGGGCTGTGGGAGATTTAAGTGTGGTCACTTACCGACAACGATTCGCATTAAGCCGGTCCGAAATATTTTTTTATTCATGTAGGTAATAAGAGCGAAAATGACACCACAACAAAACCAACTACTTAATTATTTTTAATTATTATTTTTTCTTCGACATTTCGAGTATTTCATCCAGGTTTTTGACGACGTACATTAAGGAGACCTATCAATACTTCTGATTCATTATCAAAGCATCACAAAAGCTAATTATATACAGCCTGTAAAAGCTGTGGTTATTAAGTTGATATTGCTTGTATTTATAATATTGTCATGTATTTCGCTTCAGATCTTTGTTCATAGTACCAGGAAACAACACGTTTTCAGTTTGTTTTCAAAAATAATAAAGTACTTGCTGAATATTCCCAAATCTGCCAGACTTTGCCACATTGAATACAACTTATTATGTTCTACAGCAATGAAAATGAATAAAATTAAATCTGCCCAAATGGTAGAAATCTGCCACAAATGGTCACACTCTTCTCAATATCAATGTGACATTGACATTGGCAAGAGGCCTCTTGTCAAAACGTTCCTTTGCTACCTTCCATTATCTCTCATTTAAATATTATCTAAACATTTTTGTCGCATTGGGTTTTATTTTTTACTTTATGTCATGACTGGTTAATTGACTATTTCATTAGGTATTTTATACCTTTAATGTTTTATGTGTGTACCATAAAATAACCAATACCGACTAGCTAATAATAATAGGTAAACATTCAATCATTCTTAAAAGGAAACGTACGTACAAGAACGTTACCTAATCTATGGTCGAACTGAATCAATTGCGTTTTGTTCTTGCATCTATTCTAAAATACATTGTTTAGCAATTTCTTTATTCCCGACTTCTAAAAATATACAAAAATACATTAATAACTAGGCATAAACTAAAACGTAAAATCATACTAGCAAAGTCCATGAACGGCACTTCGTTGATTTTGGGTCAGCTTTCGATTATATGTGGTAGAAGTATCTTCGGGAAAGAACATTAGGAGGTGTAAAACCACATAGTATTATCAGAAATAACTGACTTTTCTAATTGAACGTTAACAACCGCCTACACCAAACAAGATCAGTTTTTCTTAATGTTAAAATTATTTGCCGGTGCGGTGACAAGCACCGGCGCGCCCGCCGGATCGCCCCATACCAAAATCAATTTATCTAGCATCTTTATATGTAGCTATGTAATGCTTAAAATTGTTACGCACTGCTTTTTGCATCAGACAATGTAAATGTTAATCATTTTATATTTACAAAACGTGGAGGCTAATTAATATTTTTCCTTATACCCACTCCGTTTTTTGTTCAGATTTTGAAATCTTTTTGAATATTCATTTGTACCAGGTTTTGCTTGAAACGTTTGCCTAACTACTCGCATTATTAAGTACTGTAATTAATATTTTTACGCAGTACCGTGCCTCGTGACGATGCGACCTCCTCCATCATCATCCTGCCTTTTTATTGCCTTTGGTCTGGTTCCTGGCCACTTATTTTCAAATCGTTCTTTAATTTCTTTGCCTCGTCATTCTCGCTTTATTTTGTTCCGTTATCACTCTCTACCTAATGTCTGAACCGACCACTCCTGCTCGTTTTCACCAGAAATTCTGATCTGTTTTACCAGTTTTCAATTAAAATCATGTAATCTAACTAATATTTGTTGAAAATACGGCCCTTTTGGGGTTAGTTCTTCACTGTCTTACACATGTTTCGTAGTATTTAAGTAGGGAGTGTTTTTCTAATATTTTACCTGTTTTTTATACTACTTTTATTGTTACAGCCTTTCTTCCTTTCTTCACCCTTACTTATACAATAAATTCATGTAAACCGAGTAATCTATTATTATTGCTCCCTATTAGCGGTTTACAGCCTTAGCCAAATATGAGCATTTTGTAGTTCCTTCATATTCTGCTAGATGGCATTGACCCATTTTACGCACATTCCGAATGGAAACTTTAATATTTTTTCTCGAATGATGACTAATTTCACTGACTTGTGATTACGGTAGACATCAAACTCATTTACCGGTACACAATAGAGCTCCTTGTGAAAGAGTTTGTCCAGGGAAGTATTGCCATCATGTGTATTTCTACTGCCAAGCATTAATGACGTTCTAGTTTCGAAAGGTAAGGGTGAAATTACAGGCACATGGGACTTGTGAACTTATGTGTCAAGATGACAGGCGCAGTGGCAGTGTCCTCTTTTGCGTTTTAAAGCTCTCAGGACACTGCACACCTAACACATGAAGACCTCCTGGAGCGGCAATACGGAACCTATCTACTTACTGAGTTTGTAATTTTTGTATCGCACATTGCCGGTATTGCATACGGTTACAGCACTGTTTTTTAACCGACTTTAAAAAAAGGGGAACGTTCTCAATTTGACTATGAATTTGTGAACCGATTTTGAGAATTCTTTGTTTTTGTTGGAACGAGGGTACCAGCCAGTTGTCAGTATCGGTCCCATTTAAATTTGGAGAAACTATTTCACCTCTAAAGGTGGCAAATTAGGGATGAATCCGGTTTCCCGCACTTTCCGGTAACTGATTTCAATAAAACTTGTTAAAAAGATGTAGCTTCACGGACTTTTGAGGGCGTTTATTTTTTTATAAAAACGTTAGAATTGTTATTGTTCAGAATCCTTATTCAAACAGTGAACTGACAAAACTGACCTTTATTATTGTTACAAAGATCGAACAAGCACAATGAAGAATTCCTTCGACCCGGTTGTACTCGACCCAGCAATTTTTACGCCAAACCGCGGCTGTCGCTCTCCCAACTGATCTACGGAACTAGTTTTATTATGATACTAAGTGATGGGATGAACGAGGCGTGCGCCTGATAGTAAACAACACGGCTTTCCATAACAGTCGCAGTGCCACTCAGAGCTCGCAAAGATCTGAGATGCACTGCTTCTGCGCCCATCACCCAGAGACGAAAAGAAAAAAGTCCCGTGTGCCTTTAATATCCCTTAGCCTTCAAAACTGGAACGCATGCGCTGACATGACTGCTTGGCAGCAGAAATAGGTAAGGAGGCAGTACTTCCCTGGACGAACTCTTTCACAAGGAGCTCTACTGCTAATAATTGTGTACATGCGGGTCCAGATCTTTGTTTTTTATTTTAAGAGTCGTAATTCAAATGTTACCCGTACTTTTTACGAACTAAATTAAAGCGATTTGAAAAATGTATATCGTATACTACTCGTATAAAAAAAATCATGGTATATGTAAAAGTGCCTATTGAATACGGCGGTTTTCTTGTAAAATTTCGAGGTAAGTTTTTTTTTTTCAGTGTATGTCCTCAATTTTAGAGTAGGTATATTTTTTCAAAGTTCAACACTTTCACGGAATCAACCAAAGCCATTTGAGATTGTAGAGACCTTAACGGTTTTGTCACCATTGAAATTTTTTTCTTCACTCAGCCAAGGTACGTCTACCGTCTACCGCATTGAAATTTATACCTTATTAGTATCTAATACACATTGATATTTAATGTCCTCTGCCTTGCCGCCGCCGGTTTTCATTGGCCCTTAATTTACCAAACCAAATCTACAGACATCATGTTATTTAATAGAGAATTGAAGTTGATGGCTATTTGAAAAGATAATATTGACAGATTGGTTTTTCGGTATTCCTTGTGTTGCAATGTCTTCTTGACAGCGATGAGGTAATATATACGTATAATACTACACTATGTATGTAATTGTTTACTTCCTGTCGCCCTCCAAAAGTGACTCTCAGTGTCACTGACTGATATCTATTAAAGATGCCCATCTTTATTCTCGATAAATTGTACTTATCGCCTTATATTATCTTTAATTATACATACATGTAAGCAAATAAGTGTTTGGTAGGAGTAGAGCTCCACGTAAAGGAGTTCGTCCAAGGAAATACTGCCACGTTACTGTGCTCCGGTTTTGAAGGGTAAGGAGGATGGTAAAATTACAGGCACATGGAACTTGTCAACTTATGTCTCAGGGTGTCAGAGGCAGTGGCAGTGCCCTCAGATCTTTGCGATTTAAACCGTCACTTGATATTATAAAAAAGTAAGTAAATAAATATTAGACAACACATAACTTGCCTCGATCCCAAAGTACATAACTAACTAAAGCGCTGTGTGTTATGGAAAACGGTAACACCGAAGGAACTACAAACACCCAGACCCGAGATATTATAGAAAAGTTTTGTCTACATTGACCCGACCAGTCATCGAACCATTGGAGCCCAATTCTGCTAATTTTCTTGAAACCGCTGGTCATTGTAATTCCATTCAGACTCCATTGAGATTACGTGGCAATTATGATAATATTTGCTATTCTATTCAAATCTACATAGTTGCGATGGCAGTTGAGTCTCTCTGGAATGGCAATGCTGGCATATTCATTCATTCAATTACTAACGATCGATTTTGCCTTATTAAAACCACCACGGGAATATATTTTAATTTTTGTCTCGTTTAAACAGCAATTTACTTTTCAAATTAAATATACATAGCTGAAAAGATTGTAAACCGCCACTGACGGGAGTAATGAAATAGACTTCTGTATACGAGATGATATTATGGTATAATAAGGCAGCAGAAAAAGGTAAACAGCAAAAGAAGGCTGTAACAATAAAAATAGTATAAAACACACTCCCTACTTAAATGAAACATGTGTGAAACAGTAAAGGACTAACCTCAAAAGTGCCGTATTTTCTACAAATATCAGTGGGTTACTTGATTTTAATTGAAAACTGGTAAAGCAGATCAGAATTTCTGGTAAAGACGAGCGGGAGTGCCCTGTTCATATATTAGATAGTGACAACGGAACGAAGCAAAGCGAGAATGGCGAGGCAAAAGAATTAAAGAACGATTCAAAATTCAATAAATAATTGGCCAGCAACCAGAGCAAAAGGTGATAAAAGGGTGAGATGAGGATGAAAGAGGTTGCATCGTTACATACCGATATAATTTTACTACAATACACTATTGACGTGCCATCGGTCGCTATTGAAAAGCAGAATACCAAGAAAATTGCGATGGCAGTTGAATAGTAGCTCGATGATTAGCCACTGGCAACTCACACTACTCTTAACTTTTAGCAGAATACTAAACGTACAAAATCCTGTCATTAACACTTTCGACACATAACTGGGTTTATTTAAAATTAGCAGACTTGGGACCTTGGTACCTCAAGATGGCGACACCTTGAAAACCGGTGTGCAAGGCACTCGACCACAGAGGTCGACGTCGTAAGCTAGATCTCGGTGGCCCAACGGTGCGCACTGTGGACAGACTCCCGATAAGATCAATTTGGGAAAACTTTTGTAAATAAGTTCAGGGGTTTAGTTCAGGTTCAGCCTACCACAACCTCTTAACACAATATTACTTTAACGATACATTGACTTTTCGTACCATGACGCGCTTAAAGTAAGCTTATTATAATGTGAAAACTTTGATGTTTTATTGGCAGCTTTGTGACTATTCATTCACTCAGTTCGTACTATGACGCGACTGTAACATTAAAGTAATATTATTCTTATGTCAAATTTAGAAATCTTAAAATAGTTACACGGATGCAATGGAAACAATATTATTTTCTCTTTTATTGTCTTAATATTGATTTGTAATTGTTAAAAGTTAAGTTGAACTTATTTATTTACATATATCTGTATAATATTTTGTTTAATTTTTATATTTTTATTATGATAGCGCCATCTATATGCTCCTTAGCGACACTAACAGTTGACACTAGACTATAATTCTGAATTCACAACGTGACAATCAAAACTCAGTCATTAGTAGTAATTTATTTTTCTTTGCGGAAAAATAATTGAAAACTACGTAATTTTAATAGATTTTACTGTTACATACTTTTTTTTTAAGTTAAAATTCTCTGAATGTAAATAATATTAAGTATATAAACATTATACTACGATAAGACGATTCGGAACATCAAAAAAGAAAGAGATGGCGTAATATAGTTCATATAGCGTTATTTCTTATTTTTAGTTATTTTATTATTATTATTAGTATATTATTAGTTATTTTTAGTTATTTTTAGTATTAATAGACAATATTGGGAAATCATTCGTTCTTTCAATCATTTTAGCAATAATACATTACTTGGTTGACAGGTTTGTCATGGTACCAATAGGAGTAATATTTTATTAAGCTTACTTTAAGCTTATATTAAAATAACATTATTTTTGGAAAGGTTGTAGAGCCCTTGAGTGTTTCTGGTTAGTGCGCTTTAGAATTCCGTTGTTTTGGAAGGAATTTCCTAGTTTGAGACCAGGGTATTTTGATAATGTTCTTGAAGCCACTGGTCATTATAATTCCATTGAAACTCCTCTGAGATTATTATGCAATTATGATAATATTTATCGAGTTCTTAGGTTTTCGCGATTGTTACACATAGGAAATGAAACTATTTTTCCGGATTTAATCCGCGTATTATATATCCAGTATTATATACCATACCGCGTATTATATAGCATAGTATCCAGACAGGACTGACATGGTCAGTCAACCGTGACCATGGGACCTGTAAAGGGCCCGAAACGTCGGTTTGTTTGAAAAAACAAATATACGACGCGATTTAAATCCGGAAAAATAGTTTCATTTCCTATATGATAATAGTTGTTATTTTGCTAAAGTCTGGTGGCAATAGCATCAGAATCTCAGTATGACACTATATTCCGTCAGTGGAATTGCTGTGATTACATTCATTTATTCAGTCAATAACAGTGTTGCCTTACTAAAACTACCATAGAAATTGCTATGCATCTATATGTTAAATTTTAGCTCGCTTAACCAGCAAATTAGTCCTTTACAACTACCAGCGGCTGACTAGAGATTCAATCCACAAAATTATCAAAAAATGAGTGTTATGTACCAAAGTCTAACCTCTTAGATCAGCAAAAAACATCCAACATATAAACATAAATAAATATCTCTGGAGTTACATGACATTATAAGTTTTGAACATTGAAGAGTGAGAAACACTTTTAAACTTCAAGCTGCCATATCTCGAAAGTAACTGGACGTGCAGTTGGATCCTGTTTGTTTAACTACGTCCAATTGTAATATTAAGTTTATCGAATATCACTATGTTTTACGAAACTGAAATAAATGAAATAAAAACAAATATCTACATTTCTCTAGAGGTAACGTCATACCTTATACACCTAGAAAAAAAAAAAAAAAATAGTGACAGATCGCCCTTATTTTACTGATCACTGCAGCATACTTAACAAATTTTTTGAAATAATATCACAAGCGCCCTTTCAACTTACGGCGGCAGAATTAACTTTGCTGAATAAGCTATGTGTATTGTAAAATGTATAAATTTGTGTTGTCTTGAAGGCAGGCGAAACATTTTTTTTATAGTCGTGCGCCTGATGGTAGACTACACGCCTGTTCATTACAGTTGCACTGCCACTCAGAGCTCTAAATAGCAAAGATGTCACGATATAAAAAACAAAAAGGAACACCCTCAGACATAAGTTGATAAGTCCCATCTGCCTGTAATTTCACCAGCACCCTTCCCTTCCTAACTGAATGCAATAATGCTCACATGTACTGCTTGGCGGCAGAAATAGGTAAGGTGGCAGTACTGCCCTGGACGCTTCCCGTACTTCGCAGTTCTCCTTGTGAAAGAGTTTATCACAAGGATCTCTACTGCGATTATTGTTATATCAATGTATTTTACATTGAGACTTGCAGTGTTTTGGTTTAACACGATTTGTGTTGCCCTAGATTGGCATACAGACGAAGGTTCGACTCCTGTCAGATCCAAGGATTTTTTTTTATGTTCGATCTTGTATTAGTAAATCAAAGATCTAAAACAAACACATAGAAAACTTCGTAAGGCTTGTTTCGTTCCGTGACTTACTTGGCGTGACGTCTGGCACGAATTGCTAGGAGACGTTGATCTGAAGCCAGTCGGGTCGAAGGAATTTTTTTTTAGTGACTAATGGAGTAATTACACAAAGCAATAATTGTACCTATACTATGGTAGTAGAAACATCGTGATGAGCAATAAAATCAATAATAATAATAGTAATAATGTGTCAGTCAACCACACAAATGACCGGATCTCAGACTAGGGAATCCCATGTACCAGAGCAACGGTATTCACTCTGGGGCACTTCTCAGAAAACCCAGACCAGAACTAATTTTGGCGGGCTTTTGTATATATTTTTTTTAAACAGATTGCCAGCTATTCTTCCATATATAGGGTAAAACCAGGATAGGTACAATATATTAAAGATTACAAATAAAACATTTTATTATGAATTTTACTATTTTATTCTAAAGGGCATATATCGTCCTTAATATTTTCATTGTGTGGCGTCCATCCATATAGGTCTATCTCCTATCTATCCTCAATAAAATCAAGTCTTAATGTAAAAGATTAAATTAGGTATATCCATAGGAATTATTCATGGTAAACTAATAATTTTTAAATTAGGAGGCCCTTTCAAAAAGTGGGGCATCTAACCCGGTTTTACCCTAACACAACTAGAACTAAAATGTTATAAAGGGCACAGACGCATACAGCCACAATGTGTTAGATATAAAATAAATAATTTCCAAATTCTAAAAATATTGCGGAATTTGAATTCACAAAATAAATTTCGTAAAATATAGTCAAATTGCAAATGTTTACTTTTTTTATGCTTCAAGTTTAGATTTTTCGAGCATAAAAACTTTTTGCTTAATCTGGACGTAAAAAATCCATAAGGCAATTATGTAATGAAAAAGCCCGTGAACGTTACGGTCGCCTTTGCTTGCATGCCATAACACTGCTTACGAGCAAGTGTGATGAAAACGTTATTAACCGACCTCGCAAATACTTTTCGAACACGCAGCGTACGTTTATTATTTGCATTTCTAATCTTAGTTAATATTACAGTCACGAAGATGGACAACCTTTATATTAATTCATTTATCTATCTCTCTAATGTAGAGTTTTTTCAGAAAAACAGCACTTACTTTTGTCTGTAGTATTTTATCTATTCACTAGTACACCTTGACATAGCACAGTCCCAGAATCTCCACCTCGCAAAATGTCCCTTTCGCAAAATAGGTAGTCCTTTGTTCCCCAATATGCTTTAATTCTAATTAGTAAAAGGTAAGAAAAATTTGAAAATCAAAATCAAATTTGAAATTAAAATAAGGCAAGTAAGTTAATAAGAGAAATCGTCCATTTCTTTTTCTCATTCAATTTTCTTTCTCGCCGAGTAGATATTTTGCGAAGTAGACATTACTATTTATAAAATATTTAAAAAACAATAAACAGGATTACAAACTTACGTGCTACCACAACGCAAAGATATGAGGTCACCAAAGCTGATATTAATATAAACGGATTCATTTTAAATTTCGAATAGACACAAGAAACGTGTTTGGAATATTAAATTCAAATTTTGTAAAGTTTTATTTTTTAAACGTCCGGCGGGGATGGCGTACAACCGAGCTCTAAAGCCTCCTGCCAATAACAACCGGTAAATCAACCCCGCTAATGTCGAATCTTCGTATAGTATATGTTACTAGTAAAACGTTTTTATGTTTTTTATGCAGATGATCGCTTCAACCGGTCTTTGTTGTGTTTAACAAGTGTGTTTAGGAGGAAAATGATTAAAAATATTGGATTACATATGTAAGGAAAAATAGATGGCTTATTATTAAGACGTAACAACAGGTTTGTGTTATGTGTGCCGTGTACGAGTATTTTAGGGTTCCTTTATTTATAATTTATATTTATAAATATGTATTTATATATTTCTAATTTTACATTGCTTACTCTTTTTAACCGACTTCAAAAAGGGGGAGGTTCTCAATTCGATTGTTTTGTGCATGTTACGCGATCACTTCGGCATTGATGATTCTTTTTGAACCGATTTTGATGATTATTTTTTGTTGGAAAGAAGGTGGTATCTCAAGTTAAGTAACTTATTTCTGCCGCCAAACAGTAATGTCAGCATTACTGTGTTCCGGTTTTGAAGGGTAAGGGTGCTGGTGAAATTATAGGCACATGAGACTTGTCAACTTACGTCTCAGGGTGGCGGACCACTCAAATCCTTGCGATTCAAAGCTCTTGAGTCGCATTTGCAACTGTTATGGACAGGTGTGTAGCTTACCATCAGGCGCATGACTTGTTTGTTCCATTACATGTTATTATTAAAAAAACCTGAGTATTGGTCATTAGTAAGGCAACATCGATCATTAGTGATTAAATGAATGAATGCCATTTAGGCTACTTTGAGGAGTCGCGGCGACTAAAAAAGTGATCGGCGACTCGGCGATATTTAGGCTATGTTTGAAATAGGAAAGACGATTTTAGGCCACTTAATATAATGTCTTTACATGAGGGGAATTACAAATTTTATTGGGGATTTTGTGGGGAATGGAGTTGTAAAATAACTCATTTGGGGGTTTAAGTATTTCTGCGTGTGGGGAATTGGGGAAATAAGAGAGTTCATATTTCAGCAAGCAGAATTGTAGAAATGTTTTTCTTGATTCTTAAGGATTTTATGGCTTGGGCGCATATCGGCTACCTAACACACATAAATTAGCAAATTAAGTTCGCCAAAGTCTGGCAACACTGACTGCCATTGTACTGAGACTCAACCATCATTGCAACTAGATATTATAAGAATAACAAATATTATCATAACTGCGTCCGTGGCCGAACGGTTCCCGGACTGCCACGCAGAGGTCCCAGGTTCGATTCCCGGGCCGGGAGAAATGTTTGTATGCCTTACATTTATTTATTTCGTGAGTTTGGGTGTAATTTGTGGTTGTCTATGTGTGTGTCCATGGCACCCGCGACACAGGGTTTCCCTAGTGCAGGGCTATGTTGAGTGTGTGCGTTATTTATTATTATTATTTATTTATCATAATTGCAATATATTCTCAGTGAAGTCTCAATGTAAGTACAATGACCAGAGGTTTCAAGAAAAATGGCAGACTTGGGCTCCAGGTATTCATCAAACATAGTTAAGAACGTCGAACCCACTGCCTGTCAGTTTGCGTGTGTCAGCCGGCCACACACCCATATAAACTGACGCGATGTCTAAAAAAACAATGACTCAAACAAAAAAAGATATTAACTATTATTTTCTGACTTATTACTTTTATATTATTATAATATTTAGTATAGCTATCAAATTTGCATGTCAATTTTTAATCAGCTAACACTTCTGAAGAAAAGCATTATTATTTTTTTAGAATTCAAAATTAAAAAATCGGTATTTCATAGATAAGCATTATAATTGAAATCGCCGTATTGATTATACGCTACTCTCATTCGTAAGATTCTCATGTTGCATATTTTTGTAGTTTTTTAATATTAATATATTACGATAAATATGCTAAAATAATCCTCGTCAATTTGTTAAAATTTTAATCTAGTCTGAATGTACGTAAATCTAAGTTATTTTATAAGATCTCTCTGCTGTCAATATTGTTTCTGTACCTTTTGTGCCTTGCCTACTACAATAAATCGCGTTAGTTTTACAAGTATGTTGGTTTTAATTCTACATTAGAAAGATAAGTATTAACCAGCCCTTTGCACTCGACCAGCTGGTCCTTCGAGCCGGATTTAAGATATTATCAAGAATTACGCGAGGATGTAAAGCGATTTTGTTTCGCAGCGACGTAATCATAGCTTGATCTGCTGCTGTAGGGTCTCCAGGTAGCACCATCGTGGGTGAGAATCCAGGTGGCCTCTTTTCTCGCCTAATCCCCAAAAAACGATTCAAAGAAAAAACTTGAAAACAACGAAGAAAAAAAATCGCTTTACATCCGATTTAGAAGAATTAATGAAAAACTCGAACGTTTTCTTTTTGTGAATAGATAATTTGTTCTTTTTTTTTATAATATCAAGTGACGAGACGTACAACTCGTGTGCCTGATGGTAAGCTACATGCCTGTTCATAACACTTGCAGTGCCATTGAGAGCTTCAAATCGCAAAAATCTGAGGGGCACTGCCACTGCGCCCGTCACCCTGAGACATAAGTTAATAAGTCCCACGTGCCGGTGTTCACATAATCATTTACAATACTGTTTGTTTATAATTAGTAGTGATCGGAACAGGTAGAATGTAAATTTACCTAATCTTTAAGGAACAGATACTGAAAGTGCTGGACTACCTTACGATATCATTTAGTAGCAGTAGAGCTCCTTGTGATTGGGTTCGCCCAGGGTAGTACTGACACCATAACTATTTCTGCCGCCAAGCAGTAATGTCAGTATTATTATGTCCCGGTTTTGAAGGGTAAGGGTGCTGGTGAAATTACAGGCACATAAGACTTGTCAACTTACGTCTCAGGGTGACGGGCGCAGTGGCAGTGTCTCAGATCTTTGTGACCTCTGAGTGGCAATGCAATTGCTATGGACAGGCCGACAGGTGCGTCGTCACTTACGTACGTGACAACGTACCATCAGATGGGCAACTTATTCGTCCTGTCACTTGTTCTCATAAAAAAAACACATTCTCTTGTCCCGGATTTTTCGGGATTCAGGAAATCACTTAAGTACACACGTGACTAAGCAGATGAGAGAGAAACTGCAATATCGCTGTCTAAAAATTTATAAACATTTCGAAGAATTGGTGGTTACACTTATAATAATATATGGTGGGTATTCTACCTACGTCTCCTAAATATCGTCAATTGTTAATGTACCAACTTCAACGATTTTCCGAATCCCGAGAAAATCCAGGGAGAAAAATATGTTGTCGTAAAGTAGTCGTCATTTTTTGTCGCTGTTCCTCGAAGTTTAGATAAATATTCTCTAATCTACCTATTCCTATCACTGATAATGTAGGTAGAAATTACCTAAAAGATTTAATAAAAACAATTCTTGGATTTTTGTGATCCATGTACGCAGAAGCTCTATAAGTTTATTGTAAAGATTCTGTTTTACGATTGTTTTAAAATTTGTTATTTAAGCCAATTGTCAAAATGAACAGGAATTCTATTATAGAAGCTTTTATTAGAAGAAGATTAGAATTAGAAGAATATTTTACTAACATGGCCCTTTGTAAAGACCACTGTTAAGAGCGGCTAGTTTTCTTAGTGTTGTTATGTCTCATACTATTTTTGATTAAAAATTACTATTCTACTTAACACGAATTGTATTTTTATAAATAAACTTGTTTTTTAGGATTCTAAGAAACAAGCTTGCACGTGTAATACAAAATGCAGGACAAAGATGTTACGCGACATTTCCTCAAATTAAAATGCCGTATGCCGCCAAACTGTAGAATTAGATACGATAAACCATGTAGCAGTCTATGTATAAATACTTGCGCTGCAGAGCTGAGCTGTTTTGATAATTTACTTGCTTATACCAATACAACTGTATGTACTAGGTCCAATTTTTCATTTCTATTTATGATGTTTGTGACTATGTCTTACGCATTAGGTAATTAATATAATAATTTTAGTAGCAGTAGAACTCCTTGTGAATGAGTTCGTCCAGGGTAGGTACTTAGAACTGTACAGGAGAGGAAGCTGCAGTATTTTGGCCACGTAATGAGATACCGTATTCTTCAACTAATAATACTGGGAAAAATACTAGGAAAGCGTAGTCGTGGCAGAAGGACAACCTCGTGGTTGAAGAATCTGAAAGACAGGTTCCACCTTAGCACACGTTTCCTCTTTCATGCGGCAGTTTCAAAAATTAAATTACTTCTTCTACTTCGTACAAAAGCGGCACACTGAGAAGAAAAAGAATTTGATTGATATATGTCCGCCGAGGTAGACCTTTCCCCACGTGTCCACCTCCATCCACCAATTTTTATTAACAGATCTTTGCAATTTAAAAGAGCTGAGTGGCACTGCAACCGTTATGGATACCTGATGGATGGATATGATAGAGTCCCGTTACATAAATTCCACACAATTGCATTTTTTCTCATCACATTTAGGTTATTAACTAGAAACCAATCTATTATCTTCGAAACAGTAATTAATTGTCCACAACGTTGTAGGCAAATCGGTGCAATTTTAATTTAAATAATAACGAAAGATCATCAGTATATAAAACTTTTTCATGTTTTCTAACTTCCTAGAGGCTATTTAAATCATTAATATAAACGAAAAACCGAAATTTACTTAACATTGAACCTTGATTTTTACACGTGCTACATGTTGACCCTGTTGACCTCGTAGCATTGACATCGACCCCCTTTACTCTGCAACTCAAATAGGTCACGGTCACGACCCGTTACACAGTAATGTCAAAATTTCCTGATCAAATTATCATGGTTCATCAATCAAATGCCTTAGTAGAGTCACAGAAAATAGGTTGTAGCATCATACGGGTCTTCCCATTCGGTATGTATCATGTATTCATGTACCATCAACTCAACACCAGACGACATATAGTTCTTTCAAATGTTTTGCTATGAGTGGCATTGGGATAGGTGGGAAATTAGTGCGATCAGACTTTCTACAACATTTTAGACGAGGAATATTTTTAGCTTACCGTCATGAAAACAGAGAACACACTATCATTTTGAGGATGGTGTATTAATTGTAAATAAGCCACTTAAGATCTACAATACGTGCCATAAATTTTAAATTGTTTGAAATAAGTTGTAAAGAGCCTCCATGAATAGATTTTTCTTTTTCTTCCATCATATTTCCATCATCAATAAAGTATTGAGTATCACTCTTAAAGCCAAAGCAGTAGAGCCTATCCTTACGTTTTTAAACATGCAAGATGTGGAATGGGCTCACTCTTGAAGTGTTTCCAGTGCATTATGACATGGGGTACTTTAAGAAGCGAGTAAACAGGATTTAGGATTGCGATATATTACTGCTTCTCATGTGTTCTTCTTCTCGTTTACCTTCTTTTTTACATTTAAAAAATAAGAACCCAAACCTGATGATTGTGAAAGCACTATATGCGAAAGCATTACATGAACTGATGTTTACGTAATCAGTGGCGTTCAGCAGTAGAAAGTATATTGACATTGTTACAGTTTATGAATAGTTTTACTTCTAACTCTTTACCATTCATGCTCCGACCTGATGAATCGGCTTTAGTATTTAATTTTCATTTCATTTTTCGGCCATTTTTGTCCCACTGCAGAGCAAAGGCCTCCCTAACCTTTTTCCACTCTTCGCGATTTAACGCCACTACAGCCCAACACCTCATATACGCGTCCAATTCGTCACGCACGCTATCTGGGTCTTCCACGGCTTCAGCTTGCGTTTGATAAGATCCACTCCGTGGTGGTTTTTGCCCACAACTCGTTTGACGTGCGGCGTAATGTATCCAGCCAAGTTCCAACGTCTACGATTTGTGTTTTGGAGCGCAGTATGCTGCATACTGCGCTCCATGCCTCGCCGACAAACCCTTAATGCGAACTTTTGACGATTCGTCAAAGATCAAGTTTGAGCACCGTAAGTAAGGACGGGGAGAATGCGCACGCATGAGCTTTCTTTAGAGTTAGAGGTAATTTTCTCTTCATCACGTCTTCCACTGACCAAATGCTTCTTCAGGCATTTTCCGTGCTATGGGCAACCTCTTTTACTTGTCTTGCCTGTTCGAGAGAGACTATCTGGACAAAGTAAATGTACTCCTGGACGTACTTAACCCTCATATGTCCCACACTCACTTAATATACAATTTCTTTAATAATATTCTTTTCAGCAAGACGTCCGTTCAAAAGAAGGCCTATTCCACTAGGTCCTACCAGCTGTTCCCCCTGATGGGGATTAGTGGATTTTTTTTCCATTCTTCCCTACCACAATAAGTGGAATTTCATTTCCACTTAATTGGCTAATATGTAAACACAGTGTACTGTCGCCTAAATTAATAATCACGCTGCAACATCACGCCACTTACGCTTATACAAACACAAAAAATGTTTACTAAAAAGTATTTGTGGAAAAATTTTAGGACGTTATAACTTATTTGTTTGTTAAATATTTAGAATAAAAAACAGACGTGTTTTATTATTTTTATTACATGAAAAAAAAAAAATCTATACAATACCTAGGGTGTACTATTGAGTGATAAAACGGATCTTTGCTGTAATATTGCCAACTTAAAAAAATATGGATAATGTATTTTTCAAACTTACTTGACCAATTACAAAATACTCTCTGAAATTGCAACTAGCAATTTTGAAACCAGTATAGGTAAATAATTAATAGGATCAATAATCTCAGTACTGAGTACTAAAAAAACCGACCTCAAAAGTACGTGGAATTACATCTATTTGCCAAGTTTTATTGAAATATCGCCACTATACAGGACTTGACTCAGGTGATAATAAAAATCAGTTCTCACTACTCAAAGTATATTGAGAGAGAAAAACGCCTTGAATTGGAGAATAGCAAAACCAACCGCGACAATAGCGACATAGTTTATGTTACATTGCATTAAACATGTTTTGTATATTTTTTATGTGTAATAAATAAATAAATAAAAAAAAATAAAAAAAAAACCATTAAAATAATTGCTCCTTAAGTAAAATTTAGGCGTTATTTATAAAAATGAATGTTCATGCGTCAAGCTACCCTTAGAGGTGGATGATTTTCTTCAAAATGAAATGGGGCCACTATGGAGGTACCCTCTTTCCAACAATTAAACAATGCATTAGGTACCAAATTAAATTAATTGATACAGGACATGACATTAATCAGATTAGATGGATAAAATTAATATATGAATAAGTAAATAATTGTAAAGGAATGTATGCATCAATCAATTAGTTCAGCGCATTCGCCAGATCTGTGCGCACCCTTTGAATGAATAACTGAATATTACGAAATATATCGTGTGTGTGTTATAATGTTTTTCTCTTAAATCAAAATTATATACGAGTATAAACTTATTGCTATAGCTAAAGCTGGTGTAACCACTAAGTTGCTATCTCTCACGGTTTCGTAGGACCTCGTTTCGGGTATCTTGCATCCTTACTGCTTCTGACAAGTCGTGGCATATTAAATGTTGATTGTCGACTTATGTCCATTGTGAGTAATCTGGTATGTCAAAAAGTTGCAATCGTCATCCCTTTTCAAAAATTCTCTACCATGATGACTCCATTGTACCAGAATCAGACCCATATATTTCGACAGAGTCAGTGAAGGTGCTTGTTATTAAGTGATACAGAATTTTTTTTAAATAAGGGCAATTACAAATTTAATATGAAAAAATCTGAGTCTAATATACTATGAAGTAATAGTCTGGCGAATCCAAGAATTATACTCGTACACTTTTGTAAAAACAAGAGGAAAATTCTCCACCCCACACAAACTTGGTCCATAGCTGGCAATCCCGACAACTTCAAATAACCCCTTTCTATCACGCTTTCGCCACATAAGAGGACCTCCCGAGTCTACTCTGCAGGAATCTGTACGTTCATCTTTACCACCACCAGCGCATATTTGTCCCTGCCATAGATCGAGTTCGTGACCCTTGACGTCGGATATGGCTTGGCATTCCTGTAAATTGTAGGGGAAAGTTTAAGAAATGGAGATACCATTGTTTGAGAGTCAAGACCAAGATTGATGTGTCATATTCACATGTTTTTTAGAAAGAACACCTCGGTTAGCTCGATTTTGATATATTGCATATACTCACAGAATGTGACACAAGTGGTAGTTCTGCATATAACTTTAAGTTACTCGGTCTGTAAGTGCTAATACCCCATCCGGCCGCAAACAATTCCCGGCGAGACGGTGGTGATAAAGTCGTATCGGATATTGGTAGACAAATTGGACGGATGAAATCTGTAATGAGGATGTTTTCGTCTTAATATTTGCAAAATTTAAAGGCACTCTCATACATAGTGAAAAGTCTAGTTCAAATGGGTAATTTGGGTCACCGCACAGTTGCCCACTTTCACTATATGATAGTAATAATTCAATTGATGCAATTCGTGTGTTTTAGACTCAGTTTTCATCATGGATTTTTCATGATAGGTTTTCCGAGTAATTTTTGGTGATTAAATGTCACTTGCTATGAAACTGAAGGAAAACTGCTTAACCCTTCGGAGAAAGTTGAAAAAAAAAAACAAGACAGACATGTCCGAAGTTTCAAATTAGTCGATAAGTTTTTCAACTTTCCTTTAAAGACTATAAGTTCTTTTGATTGGAGGCCGCTTACTGCCACACTGAAATATTAAACTATATTTGGGCTAAGTACGAGTGTATAGTTATTGTAATTGACTTGCCGGAATAAGGCGCTGATTTACTCATCCTCAGCAAAGCGATATCATGTTTCCTATTCTCGTCATAAGGGTTGTAGTCGGGATGTGGGATGATCTTTTCAATAGGTATGACCACACCGGCATCGGAACAGTCGGAACCTCCTACAAACCCTACGCAGTCCATTTGGTCGATTTCGTTTGAGGTGTCGTATTCGCCAAGACGAATGTTGCTGCTAGAATAGAATATATTTATACTTTATATACACACATACAATAGTAGAATACTTGATAAATGACTAAATCACGAGTAGGTAAAGAAGGATCAACAGATTAAGAACATTTCATGGAAATGTATTCAGGTAAAGTTTCAGACAGCTTTCGAGCGTTTTTGTGACCAAAACATTGATAGAAATCGAACTATTTTGATGATTTGTTCTGCGTTGTCTCGCCAGTTAAAACTTCCAATCATCATCATCATCATTATCATCAATCCATTTATACGTCCCACTTCTGGGCACGGGTCTCTGCTAAGGCGAAGAACTAGGCCATAGTCCAATAAGTAGTCAATGCGGGTTGGGGACTTGTCACGTTTTCCGGAATCTTTTTCGACATGCAGGTTTCATTACGATGTTTTCGTTCACCAAAAAGCTCATGCTTGGTAAATTTCGCACATAAATTGCGAGCATAAGGTGCGAGCCGGATTCGAACATACGTCCTCTGCTTAAGAGGCGGTAGGTCAAAGGCTACCATGACGTTTTTTAAACTTCCAAGGTCAACGTTAAACCAATGCATGTGAAAAAGTATTGGAATCATTTTGTTAAGGGCAATACTTGGCAGTGCGGAACTAAACGATTAACGGGTTGTGGCATAATAATGGTCACTTACGGAGGATAAATATCTATTTCAGTAACACAAAACGCAGCTGTGAGCACATATCGATCGCTGATGAGAGCTCCTCCGCAAAGAAACTTGGTAGTGTTGTTCTCCGAGCCCTCGATTATCACTAACCAGGGAAATTCATCTATTTTTGCAATGTCGCCGCCTGAAATGTATCGAAAGTTCCAGTACTGAAAAGTGAGGTTTATGATCGTCGGATGAACTCTCTTGCGATGTGTGTTGTGTGTTGTCTCTATAGTTACTAGGATCCACTTTCCTACCGCTTGTCGATAAAGGACAATATCTTTTTCGTAACCTATAAAAAGAGCAAGTGGGGACCAATGGTTTTTTACATATAATCTTCTGTATGGTTACATTTTGATGTTACGTCATCTGTTATTACTCTGGGTTGCGGTCCAATTTAGAAAATGAATATTTGTATGCAATTTTTCTAATTTGGCTATGGTTTGCTTGTTTTGGGCTGTATCCAATTTTTCTTTTGTATTGTTTTTATTATATAGAAATCGGATTCGGTAGTCATTTTGCAATACACAATGTGTTGTTGTCGGCATCTGTTTGTAAATAGTTCATTAGTAACTAACAGGAGTCATCACGTCGACAATGTTTGATAATACTCTCCTAATTGACAGTTTTTTTATAATGGTTTTCTGATTTAGAATCGAGTTTCTGTAGTAGAAATATACCGACTTCTTTCTTTTTGTTCTCTTGTTATTAAAAGTTTGCTTTTATAATGTGGGCACAACACATTAATCATACGTAATGTAGCAAGTTTAAAAATAATATATACTAATAATATGATCATCCTCGGCTACTTGTTTCCCACAACAGCCTGAATAAGGGTCAGGAGGCGAAACACCAGGTTTTCCATCACAGTCTTTGATGAGATCCGGATTAAAGTTGGGGTTACGTTCTGGCAGAAGACTTTGGAATTTCGTTTGGTTTTGTGTTGGACAACATACCTGGAAATAGACATGAACGTATTTTGACCTAATTCGTTTAGACCGGTGTCTTTTTTGTAAATAGCGTGTTGATTGCAGCTTTTCAGCTAATTAGGTATGTGCATTATGACCAGACAGGTCAGGTCGTTCTTGTAAAGGAAACCTCGAACCTCTGTTTTTCCTTTTGGTGGTGAATCTATTGAGGTACCTATCTCCATTTCTATTAGCACGTGAATTCTTTAAAAAATGGGCTTTCTTACTCTAGGTGTATTCCCTTCAAATCCGCAAGTAAAGCTTCGCAACTTATCAATATCTTTTTGAGATTTATCAGGCTTTTTCACGATACTTAAAAGTTCGTTGCAGTCGAACAGAGAGACACAACTGCCGACATCACTTGACGGCGTTGTGCATGATGACTCTGAAATTAAGGACCAAGTTTGATTTGCATTGAGACTAGAAGACTTTGCAAAATGATGCACGGCAATTGTGTTGTCATGCAACAGATGCTAGTAATAGTGAGAATGAAGCCTATAATAATTAAATACGAAAATTAGACTAGTTCTGCACCAAAAACAATACACACGAAAATAATAAATAACCCGTTAAAATGTACTTGGTGTGAATATACATATATGATATGTATAAGGAAACACTTTTGTCTATTTATGTACATATATATTTCCATAACAATTAAGATCATACATATTTTATATACATCGTACAGCAGGTAGGTTGGGTTAAGATTTTCTATTTTTCTTTTTTAATTTGTTCTGTATTTTTATTGAGCGAGTATTTGAGTTTTCGCACACATATTTTAAAGCGTATTATTATTTGAATTCTGTGTTTACTGTCTCAAAATACAATTTGAATAAACTTTTTCGTAACAATAGAACACTTTCTGAACGGCAAATAAAAATAAACGGTAAACTGGATTTACTTACGTCCTTCCACAATGAAAATATACGATGTCACCAAAGACGATATTAACATAAACGGATTCATTTTAAATTTTAATAAGCACATGTATATGGAATATCAAATTCCATTTGTTAAATTTTGTTTTATTAAACGTCCTCTAGGAATGGCTGCCTACTGAACTCTGATGCCTTCTGCCTAGAATACACAAGTAAATAAACTTGTATTTTGATGCACATGATCGTGTCGACTGCTTTTTGACTGACTTGCCAAGCGTGTTTGGGGGGAAAATATATATAAGGAAAATTAAGTGATTTTTTGGAAGTTGAAACAGGTCTTTATAATGTGTATCTGTTCGTACGGGTCTCTTTAATTGTATTTTGTACTTAGTTTTGTAATGTTAAATGGAAGATTTGATTTCAGTTTCGACCAAATTTTCGTATGTCACAGTATACTGTAAAAATATTTATTTTTTGTGAAATTACTCCATTAGTTTGTTATGATTATTAATACAAAGATCGAGCGCTTAGAAAAAATTTCTTAGATCCGACTGGACTCGAACTAGCGACTGTTGCCTCAATGTCACTATCGCTCTGCCGACGAGTAAGCGCAAACGCGTTACTTCACCAGGAGGTCTACCACCTTTCCAAAAACAATCTTATTTCACTGTAAGGTCGTTATAATATTACTCATATTCGTATCATGACAAACTTTTCAACCAAGTAATGTATTATTGTTAAAGTGATTGAAAAAACCATTGACTTACAAATAAAAAACGGATGATTTCCCAAGATTGTCTATTCTTTACTAAAAGTAGGAAAGCAAATAATATATGAACTGTATAATGCCATCTCTTTCTTTTTAACCGACTTCAAAAAGGAGGAGGAGCGCGATAACTCCGGCGAAAATTAATTGTGAACCGATTTTGATGATTCTTTATTTGTTGGAAAGAGGGTACCTCGCTCGGTGGTGGTCCCATTCAAATTTGAAGAATATATTCCACTTTTAAGGGTGGCAAACTAGGGGATGAATCCGGTTTCGCACACTTTCCTGTAACCGATTTCATTAAAACTTGGCAAACAGATGTATGTAATTTTGAGGTCGGTTTTTTTAGTATTGCGATGTTTTCTCTGTAGGGCGAAATCAGATCCTTATGCATAATACAATAAAAAAAATAAAATGCACACTTATTTGTTCTTCAAATTTATTTATAATTGAAAATGTACTTAAAAGTCTAGTTTAAATTCGATACTAAGAATTTCAATATAAAATTCTAAGGTTTAACAGTCTGACGGATCCAAGAAATATACTCGTACACCTTCGTATAAAGACCGGGCACATCATCACATTGGATGGAAGGAAACTGTCCAAAGCTGGCAATCCCCACCAATTCATAGAATTTCTTTCCTTTACGGTTCTCCCACATGAGAGGACCTCCTGAGTCCCCTGTGCAGGAAGCTTTACCCAAGTCAATACCAGCGCACATTTGACTCTGCTCAAGGGAGACAATGCGACGGCCGTATGTGTGTATATCTAGGCAGTCCTGGAAAAAAAAACAAGTTTATGAAACGGATATATTAAATGTGCGAAACGCTTCCAATATTTATGTATTTCTGGGAAGAATATCGGAGTGCTCATTATTATTATTTTTGGATTTAAAAAAACACTGAGTAACTACTCGATTTGAAAAACCTCTGTGGACAGGAAACCAAGTAATTGAATCCGATACCTCTGTCTTTGTTTTATGATATCTAGTGACGAGACGGGGTGGTGGTAACCGACATGAACTTATCGTTCAAAATCGTAACGCAGTAATGTGAACATTACTGCTTGGGGGCAGAAATTGGTACGGTGACCGTACTGTGGAATATTTACTTACTAGTATAATAAGACAAGTAGTACAACTCCATACAACAACAATAACGATGCATATCCAGTAATGACCACGAGCACCCTTACCGAAACAATTACTGTGAAATAAGTAATACTCCACCAAATTAAAAGACGCATTATGCGAATGAAGCTTCATACTTGACACTGTCCTTTGCTCTTTGGTCCAGAGTCGCTTGTATGTCCGCGCCCACCACGCCCCGTATACTGACACACACTTTCGCATAATCTCGCGGTGCATTCGAGTTGCACAGCGCGAGTCGTCCACGCCCCATTCGTAACTAAATTGAAGTCGCTCGGTGTAACCTCAAAGGTTCGTGGAATTCGCCCAGTTTTATTGAAATCGGTTACCGGAAAATGCGCGAAACCGAATTCATCCCCTAGTTTGTCACCCTTAGAGGTAGAATATTTTCTTCAAATTTAAATGGGGTTGATACTGAGGTACCCTTTTTCCAACAAAAAACAATCATCAAATGAAGTCGATTAAAAATATGAATATGTGTTTGACAAAGGACAATATGGTACGAGAATACTGCGATGAATATTTTTTCTTTTTAAATTATGATTACAACTAATAAAGTGACAACGCTACGTCCGTAGCGTATAGACATTGTCGGACCGAATAGACAGGAGTTGCTTTACTTGTCTTATATTGGTGTGATATTAATAATAACTTCTGCTACTGCTACTAAATATTAATAAGTATGCTGCAAGTGAATACTCACACCTTCCGGCACAAATGGTAGTTCCGTATCCAACTTTACTTTACTAACGTGAGCTTCATTGACATTGTTCCACCCTGCTGCAATCAGTTTCCAGTTTGGAGGCGGTGATAAAGTCATATCGGATGTTGGTAGGCAGATTGGACGAATGAATTCTGTTTGAAAGATTTTCAATGTTAGATATCTGATAAATTGAAATTCGAAGTATTGAAAATATAATTTTACATATTATTCGTAGATGTAACTGTCGCCTTAAAACTGTCTTTTAATTGGAAGCTCCTGCTTGCCAATCTGAAACGTAAATTAATAACTTACCAGAATAAGACGCCGATGTATTAATCCTCAGTAAAGCAATATCATGTAAACCGTTAGGGTTGTAGTCGGGATGTGGGATGATGTTTTCAATAGGTATGACGACTGCGCCATCAGTACAATTACGACCGCCTTTGTAATTAACGCAGTCCGCTTCATGGACCTCGTTTGATGTGTCATACTCGCCTAGACGCACGTTGCGACTGGGGAATGACATATAAAATTATTATAATGGCAAAAACATGGGGTGTGTACATGCAATAGTCAGATATTTGCTAAATTATTAAAACAGCAGTAATTTGCAGAGGATCGGGAGAGCAAGGACATTTTATTGCATGGCAAGGATTTGGATTCTACGAACGAGCGTTTTGAAAATCTAAATAGGGTTAGAAAATCGACTGTTTTGATGATGTGCGAGATTTTTTTATAGGTACTGCAGTAAAGCCGACTATTATTCGGTATATCCGAAAAGATATTGTAATCATTTTCCCCATTGTAGAGGTAAACAACGCAATAATACGTAATTTCCCTAACTGTTTAAAATGAAGTTGTAAACGGTACGTTGACATGGTGCCGAAGCCGAAGTGCGCACGGAGACGCCATTATCGTTTTGCATTGGCCATCGATATCGGATCTTCGGTAGTCGAATGGGTTAAGGGCAATAAGTCACAATCAACTGGGCGAAGATTACTATATAAAATGATCACTTACGGAGTACCTCGAGTTAGCACTTCTCCAGTGACGCAATGCGCAGCGGTTAGCACATATCGGTCGCTGATGAGAGCCCCTCCGCAAAGAAGCCTGATGTTTTGGTCTTTGAAGTACTCGATATGAACCAACCAGGGATGTTTGTACACGTTTGTTATGTTGCCGCCTGAAATACATAGAACTTTTCTGTACTAAGAATTGTGATAACTTTATCAGCCCTCTCTCACAATGACACGAAACGGCATGTTTCTACGACGTGTGTGCATGTTAAATTGAAACAAAATGATTATTTATTTATCTATTGCAATCGAGTCTATCAATAGAGATCGCCTTCGTAACTGATCGTAGTTCGCCTACCACAGAAAAATTCAGGGAATGAACAACCACTTGGTGTGATACGAAACTTGTTTCGATGACAGTATTGTATGTAATTTGTATTTTGACTGAATCTATCGTTAGACGTCAATCTTTGTCATGTATATTTAGATATCTTCAACCTGAGCAGTTAGTTAGTCTGGGTTTCACATGAAGAAGTCACGGTCTTGTTTCTTGTTTCTTCTTTTTGTTTTCAGTTTTTTAACAGTGTTTACTTTTATAATGTAGGCACATCGAGTATATATATGTGTGGACACAACACATTAAATTATAGCACAGCAAGTTCAAAAATACTACATACTAATAGTATTATCATCCTCGGCTGCCTGTATCCCACAACAGCCTGAATAAGGGTGAGGAGGCAAAACACCAGGTATTCCATTACAGTCTTTGATGAGATCTGCATTGAAGTTGGGGTTATGTTCTGGCGGTAGACTATGAAATTTCGTTTGGTTTTGTGTTGGACAGCATACCTGGAAATAGACTTGAGCGTTTTTATGTGCAACGGAATGCGTTAGGTTTCTTTTTTTTTGTAAATAGTGTGTTGATTGCAGCTTTACTAAATCCGTTTGTTAAGCTTGGCAATGACAAATCATCGGTTCGAGAAGATACATTATAATATTTATGTATGTAAGACCGTATTTACTTTATTTGACATTGGTTTGTATGTTTGTCTTATTTGTATTGCTAGCCAGCCGACGGACTGACGAATGCAGACTTTCTGGCAGTGGTTCCGTTACTTTGCTTAAGTTATTACGACTCTTGTTGTGAACAACTTGACCAGTCTGGTCTTATAAAGGAAACCTCGAAATTTTGTTTTTCTTTTTTGTTGTGAAAGGATTGAGATACCAATCTCGTTTCCTATTAGTGCCTGATTCTTTAAAAAAAATAGAATATCTTACTCTAGGTGTGCTCCCTTCAAACCCGCAACCAAAGGTTCGCAACTCATCAATATCTTTTTGAGATTTATTTGGGTTTTCCGCGATACCTAAAAGTTCGCTGCAGTCCAACAGAGATACGCAACTAAAGACTTCACCTGACGGCGTTGTGCATGATGACTCTGGAATAAATGATCAAGTTAGATTTGCAATGAAGTTTAAAGACTTTGCTCGCACGGGAATTTATGTCCGAAATTTAATTTGTAATTTACCATGAGCTTT